TCACTTGGCTCTAACAAGTGTTTACCCTTCTTCGCCCCAAATATATATCTTAAAGCTTGAGTTAGATATCTGTTTTTCAAACATTGTGGACCAATTCTTCTTGCAACCTAATATATACATGTTTGTCCAAGTGTGACTATAAAATCGAAATGAAATGAATAGTAATGCCTATGAGATCAAGCGCAAAAAAAAAAAAAAAGTCAACAAATAATGAAATAGGGATTTAGGTGCTTCTATTACCAAGACAAATTGTATAGTTGTATAATGCAAGATGTTCTACCCTCATTAAGATTATTGTCTTTTCTCATCCTATCTCCCCTGCCCCAGGCCACGTAGAATATATACATGACACCAGGAATGCCCTTTCCCTCTTTCCTTTCCCCTTTAATGGTGAGATGGAGAATCACAAGGCCTTACCATTTGCCTTGCTGCACCTTCCTAAGCTCCTCCAGATTACCATCTGCCCTGAATTCAAGTTATTCTAGATAATTTAGGTCATTGTTATAAATTGTAATTGTTATACTATTTTATGATGATCAGGTACTATTAAGCTGCTCAAGACAGTTTGCCCTTGCACTAAATGACCCCATGCTTCTATGCTTTCTAAGTTCTGTCATCTACTTCTCATACTTTCTTTTGCTTCTTCTGTGATTAGGACATCATCTGTTTCTGTCTCAAGCAGCCCTTCCTCCCTCCCTTCAAGTTTGCAGCTCCTAATCAGCCAGACTAGAAGCAGTATGGTCCAGTAGAAAGACTATCAGCTGTAGAGGACCGTGGTTCAAATGCTGCCTCTGAGAATCAAAAACTCTATGGAGTAGGATTACTCTGAGGTAACCGCCATGGGATCATGGCTTAATTAAATAGCGAATGAAGTCAATGATGTATTTTGAAATGAATGGGTATCCATATTAGGTGTGCTGTTGGTATGGGGATGAAAGAATCCTTAAAAGCTTTCATTGGATTCTGTTTACATTTCAGAGCTACTATCATATGAAAGAGCTCCAGTTCTCAATTCTAAAATATCATAAGTTAATTGTAACAAGAACTTGAGACATTAAAAATCATCATCAAAAAAGGCCAGAGTTTCCTTTTCTGAAGACTTGAAAGAACATAGTTCTGAGCTGGTTTGATTCCAATCTTTCCTTATTTAAAAAGATAGTATGCTTTAGAACTTTAGAACTAGAAGGGATTTGAGAAGTCAATTCACTCCCTCTCTCTCCCCACATATGTGTAACATCCACCTCTGAATTTTACAGACAAAGAAACTGAGATTCAGAGGAGGCAAAATAGACAGGGGTCTTCAGGCTAAGGCCAGATCACTACTTGTTAAAGTATAACATAAGGAGATTGTTCTTCAACATACTACTTAGACAGGATGGCCTGGGAGGTCCCTTACAACCAGCTCTGAAATTTTACATTTCTGTAATTTGCTCAGATTCACCCCGGTAGTAAGCAGCAAAACTGGAATTTTAATCCAGGCCTTCCAACTCCAGGCAATAATAATAGGTAAAGCACTTTACATGATACCTCATTGATTCTCATAACAACCCTAAAAGGTATAGGTGCTATAACTATCACCATTTTAAAGAGGAGGAAACTGAGTTTGAGAGTAGATAAAAGTGACTTTCCAATGAACACACATATTGTGTCTGAGACAGGATTTGAACTCAGGTCTTCCTGACTCCAGGTCCAATCCTCTATCCACTATACCATCTCTAGGGCTTTTTCTACCCAGGTTGTCTTCAGGGTAAATGGAATGGGCCTTCAAGGTCCTTACCAATCATGAGTTTACAAATCAATAATATAATTTATTTTAAGATGCGTAACAAATTCAGTAAAAAAAAAAAATCAATCAATCAACAAGGGCATATTAAGCACTTAACTCCATGTCAGGCACTGCAATAGAGGTACAAATACAAAGAGCTTACAGTAATGATAATTGAAGGGTTGTTCTGAGACCTTTCCCCTTAAAGCAAGGTTTATCCTAAGGCCAGAAAGGTTGGGTCTTTAGTGGGTCATTTACTGGCTTCAGGTTACTGGTCTGGTCTGCTCTGCTCTGATTGTCTACAAAGGCGAGAAGAGCTGGTCCAATACTAAAGATGACTAAAGCCATCAGATTGGTTTACCAATCAGACAAAAAGGAATTAACAAATAACTTATTTTAGGACCTGTTAGCAGGGCAACCGTACAGGACAGATTTGGTTTGGAAAGTCTTTTTGCGCTATTTTTAAAACCCTTTTAAAAACTGTAACATAGGCAATTAGATGGTGTTATGGACCGTGTTGGACGTGGAGGCAAAAAGACTTGAGTTTGAATCCTGCTTCAGACTCTAGCTCTGTGACTCTGAAGTATTTAACCTCTGCCTCACTTTCCTCCTCTGTAAAATGGGGATAATAACAGCACCTATTTCCTGAAGTTGTTGTGAGGTTCAGATGAAATAATATATGTAAAGCACTTTGGGAACCTTAAACCATAAAGGCTAGCTAGAACTGCCAGTTTTTTGAGAGCATTTGATTGTCTTGCCCAAAATGTATTTGCCCTAGGATTAGCACAGGATTTGGCAGACAGTGCTTAATAAAAGTTTCAACTCAAATGTCACCTCCTTCGGGAAGCTTTGATCCCTGATCCCACCCCCACCCACCCCCACACTCACTCAGTTAAGAACCTCCACTTATCTAGTCCCCATTGTTTGCCCCCCTCAAATGCAATTCTCACACATAGTGATTCTCCCCCACCCTCACTCAGTTAAGGACCTCCCCTTATCTTGTCTTTGTTTGTCCCTCCCAAATGCAACTGTGTATTACAGTCATCTATTCTGGTGTCTTATCCCTCTCTAGATTATAAATCTAAGCCCCACAAGGGCATGAACTGATTTGTATCTAAACTACATATCTCAGGCAGCTCCCAGGAAGCCCAGTGCTTTGTGCCCAGGAAGGACCTCATAAATGTTTGTTGAACTGAATTGAAAATAGGATTGGACTAGCACTGAAGATTACATCTTTAAAGCAATCCAGCCTACCTGGGTGATGACTGACCTGGTTAGAGAAAAACCTAAGTCTCCTCCCTCACCAAAACCAGATGCAGCATAATTGAACACAAAGGCCCCAAGGCAGAAATAAGAAGGATATTTAAAAAGTAAATGGCCTAAGGATGTTTCAGAGCTCCCAAAACAAAGGAAGTTAATTTCTTATGGACTTATGATCAGATCTTTCCATGGATATGTCTGGAACAGAGAGGTGACCAATGCACTGTGACCCATCAGAAAAACAATAACAGAGAAAAGCAACCATATTTCTGAGCACGGCAATGTACATAGGAAGTCATATAAGGCTCAGAAAGAGAAGCAGGGTCCTACAGGGAACAGAGAGATAGACTTAGGGTCAGAAGACATGGTTATTTACAGTGTGGCCTTGGGTGAGTCATTTAACTTCTAGAAGCCTCAGTTCCTCTATCTGTAAAATAAAGATTAATAATACTTGCATAATTAAACCAACACCTACCTCAGAATGGTGAGGATCAAATACTTATAAAGCACTTGGCATAGTGTCTGACACATAGTAGGTGCCACATAAATGCTATCTAATTATCATCATCATCATCATTATTATTTATTATCAGACTGTATATCAGTTTTCTGAACAGTCTGGTGATGAGTTAGTCGACCACAACAACTTTTTTAAAGCCTCTCCACTCCGTAAAAGAAGGAAGTGACCACACAAACAAACATCTCGGTTATTAACACTTACAGGCTTACAGGTGCTCACCCCACTGACCTTTCAAGAGTAGCAGAGAAGAATGAATACGTGACATAAAGCATACAAAAAGCCCTTGGTAAGTCTTAAAGCATTATGCAAATATTAGTAGCAAGCCTCCTAACGAATTTCCGCCTCCTACTTGACATATAGATCAGTTATTGGGCAAGAACAAGTAACACAAGAAATAAGACAAAAGTCTAAAACTGTGACCATCTGAGTCATATGGATATCGTGACCGAGCTACGAGGTGGTTACTTGAGAAATCCATCATAACCCGATCACTGTACCCCTACAACCAGACCAAGATTCCTCCCTCTGGGTAGCATGCACACATCACAAGGATCATGAGAACAGCAAACCATGCTCAACCTACTTTTGAGGTATTTCATTTTTTCCTTCAACCCTGCAACATAGGAAGGTGGATTATTATGAGTTATATGAAGTTACTGGAGTAGGGCTCAAATCTGGGGGCACAAGGATTTCAAAGTCTCATTCTGAAACAAGAAGGCTTGTTTTAAATATACAAACATGCACACACACACATGTACCTACATGCAATATTTTAATACTTTAGTACTTAGAGATTTGATAAGATTTGATGAGTGGGGACAGTCTCCTCCACTGACACAGATCACAATCTATCTACAGTTTGATAGATTGTCATCTCAGAGATGCTGTGGCTGAAAAAAAGTCAATCCTTTGGAGAACTTAGCAACAAACTCCCATCTGTCTCTTCCCATCTGTCTCTTAACATACACTAGGCAACAGATCCAGTCAGTCTTCAGGCTTGTACTCAAAAGCCTTTGCAACCTGGGAGGCCTTGCCAAAGTTTATATACCACCGGCAAAGTCTTAGGAAGTCCATTGTTACCTCTAAGCCCTGATATGATGAGGCCACCTATGAGCCATGAGATCCTTTTAAAAAGAAAACAAAATATTTTTAATATGTTTTTAAATATCATTAGTCTGAGAAACTGTCAGATCAATATAGAAAAAAGGTTTTTAATTTGTAAAACACCATAATTCTGTCATGCAAAGAACAGGACATTTTCAAGCGCTTCCAAATATCCATTTCAGATTCTAACGGTATACTTTGAGCAGCTAGATGTCATACCAGAGGTATGCAGTGTCTCCAATACTGAGTAGATTTAAGTTCTACTTAGAGGCTGGATCTGCCAAAGACATCGGCAAGCCCTTCTTCAGGCCCCATCCCCCAAAGCATACTGGGACCACACATGTTACCTACCTCCATTGGCCAATAGGTTCTCATGAACTCTACCCTTCGCATCTTCCATGACTTCTACTACACACTGAGCCATCTTCTTTATAAGGCTTTGAAGGAAGAGAAGAAAAATATAATTAGTAGCAGAAAAATGTCCTTGGAAAGTATCCAGTTAATAAGAAACTTGTCATAAAGAAGATAACAGCATGTTATAGCAAAAAGACACAGGATTTCATGTTAAAAGCAACTGGGGGGGGCAGCTAGGTGGCGAAGTGGTAAGAGCACCAGCCCTGAAGTCAGGAGGACCTGAGTTCAAATCCAGCCTCAGACCAAACACTTGACACTTACTAGCTCTGTGACCCTGGGCAAGTCACTTAACCCCAACTTCCTTAAAAAAAAAACAAACTGGAGTTATAATGTGATCTGGGGAAACTTTCTGGTCCTCAGTTCCCTCATTTGTAAATTAGGGGTAAATCACAGAGCTGTGGGGCAAGGATCATATAATATATGCAAAGTACTTTTCAGCACTTAAAGTGCTTTGTAAATGACATTATGATAATGATGATGTTGATGACAACAACGATGATGGTGATGATGGAAGACAACTACTCAATTAGAAATTCATTGGACAAACTAAGATCAAGTACTATCAGAGCATATTAATGATCTGACTCTCTGACCTACATCCCAGTTTGTATGCATTCTGGTGAGGGCAGCAGCAGGTATATGACTGGAGGGAGCACAGAGGAATGCCATTTACCTCTAAGTGAAGCACATGGCCTTCTGCACTCACCAGGCATCCAGTAATGAGAGGTAGTTCTGTGTAGTGAATAAGGTGCTACACTCAGAGGCAGGAAGAATTCTTAATGCTAACGTGCACCTTTTAATTCACCTTTTATTTATTGGATTCTCCTGGCATAAAAGTAAAGCTTTTTTTTTTTTTTACTTGGAGGGGGAAAAGAGGCAGCCGGTGGTACAGTGGATAGAGCAGTAGACCTGAAAACAGGAAGACTTGAATTCAGATTTCACTTCAGATACTTATTAGCAGTGTGACTCTGGTCAAGTCACTTAACCTGTGTGCCTTCATTTCCTCAACTGTAAATGAGGTTCAAATAGAACCTACCCTCACAGGGTTGTTGTGGGCATCAAATGAGTTGGGTTTGTTTTTTTTAAATCTCACTCCTGACACTTAATAGCTGTGGGACTATGAGAAAAATTATTTAAACTGTCTGAGCTTGAGTTGTTTCATCTACAGAATGAGAGGCATAACCGACATAGTTATTATTAGATTATGACACGTTAAAGTTTGCAAATTACTATAATATATAATCTCTTTAAGCCTCACACCCCAGTGAAGCAAGTACTATGTTCCCCCATTTTTTAGATATAGAAACTGAGGCTTAGAGGAGTGAAGTGATTTCTACAAAGTAACAGAGATAGTAACTATCAGAAACAGAATTCTTATACTAGATCTTCCTGATGTCTACTATACCAATCTATTGCAAAGTGTTCTTGCAAACTTTAAAACACTATATTAAAGTCACTAATAACTAACATTTATATAATGTTTTAACCAAGTCAAAAGATTTAAGGAAAGACCCCAGGTAATTGGGTGGGCCCCCTGTGATGGGATTATAGGAGGACAGGACAATGGTAGCCCAGGATGAGAAAACATGGATGAATTGCTATCTACACCCCTGGAGGGTATAACCATATTGATGAGAGCACCCATTCATTCAAGTATTATCATTATCATCATTATTATTATTATCATTACTATTATTACTATCCAGCACTAGCAGCACACACCCTCGGTACCAACAGCATTTGCTACCATATAGAACCATATAGTAAAGTTATTATTAATTACCATACAGTAGAGGTCCAGGTAGAAATTCAGGATGCTAAAGTGTGATGTAGGACAGAGCTCTTTTAATATGTCTATCATCATTGGCCTGGACTGGAAGTTTCTGGCTTCATTATAGTTACTAGTGCTGGCTTTCAGTTTTCATTTCAATATTAAGTCATTTCCATTAGATTCAACAAACATTTATTAAATGCCTACTTTTGGTCTTCTCAAGCTTATATCACTAACTACTTATTAGACATTTCAAACTCTATATTTCTATAACATAACGAAGCTGGGAATTGAGAGATTAGAAAGACACAAAAAGCTTTGAGAGAGACGCCATAATAACCATATGGAAACCTACATTTGAATTCCTGTTTTGACACTTAGTAGCTATGTAACCTTGGGGAAGTCACTTTAACTAAACCTCAGTTTCTTCACATGTGAGATGAAGTTTGTAATTCATATGCTATCTACCTCATAGGGCTGTTGTGAAAACTACTAATAAACCTTAAAGTGCTCTAGAAATAGGGGTTATCATGGTTACTGTTCAAAAATAATGAGAAATAAGAGAAGGCTCAAAGAAAAATGAGATAGTTCTTCTCTTTAAGAACTTATAGGTCTAGCAAAAGAGACTACAGATATATTAGAACTTGAGGACAATTTCACAGCAAAAACTGTGGTTCAGACATACTGGGGCACAGTAAAGCAGTCAGGAAAACTTGGAGTCAGGAAAACATGAGTTCAAATTTGGCCTCAGCTCCTTATTGGTTATATGACTCTGGGCAAGTCTCTTAACCTCTGTATGCCTAAGTTTCTGTAAAGTAGAGATAGCACCTACCTCCCAGTGTTGCCATGAGGATCTAACGAGATTATTTATAACATTTGTAAAGTGCTTAGTACAGTGCCTGGCACATACTAGGTGCTTAATAAATCAATTTTTTTTCCTTTTTTCCTTCCTTCTTTCTTTTCTTCCTTTCTTCCCAACGTCTCATAAATAGTAAGTGATCGAGTCTAAGTTCCCCTGGAACTCAGGTCCTCTATTTCCAAATCCAGCACTCTTTCCATTGTGCCAAACTGCTCTTCTCTACTGACATCTTCTTAAACAGATGTTCACTTCTCATACCCTAGTCTAGTGGTTTGTAAACCTTAAAACAACACAGAAATGAGTTATAACATTTGGAAATGAAAGAGTGAATACAGGCTAAAGCCAAATATATTAGGTTCCTCTAAAGCAGTCACAAAAGTAGCACATCAAGCAATGTGCCATAGCAGAAGTTTTGGAGTCAAAAGACCTGAGTTCCTGTCCTGACTCTGATACTTATATGGTATGATCTAGGAAATTCCCTTGCTCTCTCAGGGCCACAAACCTCTCGGTCTGTAAAATAAAAGGTTTGGATTAGATGCTTCTTTCTCTAAAGTCCCTTCCAATTCTAAAGCTTGTGAACCATTATGGAGTTTCATTAGGTTCATCAGCCAGGCAGCAGGCAACAAGCACTTAATATTACAGAGAATAGAGGCCTCAACATTGAGAAGTTAGGAAAAAGGGAGGGATTAGGGGCAAAGATGAGTTCTTTTTAAACTTGTTGAGTTTTAAGATGTCTACTGGACATCCAGTTTGAGATATCCAATAGGCAGTAGGAGATATAAGAAGAATGGACCAGCATAGAGATGATAACTAGGTTATAATTAGGTTGAAGCAGAAGCATAGAGTGGGCATTGGCCTCTGAGGTTTGCTACAAGGCCTTCCTTTTTGTACCTCCCCAAAACATTTCCCTATGAGCTTCTGAAGTCAACAGTTCTTGCCAAGGAGATCATTCTTTGGGGTTAAAGGACAGTGAAAGGGTCTCAGTTAAAAATTCACAAGTGTTACTTGACACTTACTATCTGTGTGACCCTGGGCAAGTCACTTAACCCTGATGGCCTCACCAAAAAGCAAAAAAAAAATGCAAAGGAGTGACTGGGGCTAGTCCCCATTATCACATTAGGAATATTAAGGGCCTCTAGGGAATAGGACAAGCAGAGATTCAAAAAAGTAATAATAAATGAGAATGGGTAGAGAAAAGGGTTCAGTGTTTTAATTTCCATCCAAATAGAGAATTTCCTGGCTGAGGTACAACAAGGCAAGGCAGAATACAACAGAAGGTGTCATAGAGGACACTTCCCCCAAAAAGGATCATTTGAGACCACCCCTTTCCTAATTCATACTCAAGGCCAGAAAGTCCAAGAAATAGAAAGGGTTATTGTTCTCAGAAGGGACTATTTCTCTTCTGGAACAAAGTCACAAACTTAATCTCATAATTGGAAAAGAACTCAATGGTTATGACTTGTATGAACTGATGAAAAATGAAGTAGGGAAAGCCAGGAGAACAGTAGATACAATGACACACAATAGAATTCATATTGATTGTCATGCCCAATCTTGGTACTAAAGAACAGATGATTAAACACACCTCCGTCATCTTAGTTTAGAGGTGAGACTGACTACAGATGGATATTGTAATATGCCATGTCAGAAGGTCATTGTGTTTGTTGGTTTTGCTTAATTGCTTTTCTTGGTTAGAAGCAATGGTTGGGGGAGGATTGTGATGTGAGATATTCAGAAATGACGATCAAGTAAACAAAAGTAATCAATAAAATTTTTAAAAGTTAACATATACTTTTTAAAAAACAAATTATAAATCATTTTGAATTTTTAGCTTTATGTAGCCATGTTTTATTTTGTGGGTTTGTCACTGGAAGGCAAGAAATGTCCTCTCTTTTGTACTTGTAGAGCAACCCCAGCTCCTTTTTTGAAGCCTGGCACATAGCAAGCCTCAATAAATCCTTGTGGATTAACTGACTGATTGGAGCATTTCTTTTGCCAGTGGTTGCTCTGTTTACAGTCAGGTTCTTTACACCTACAGCAGAAAGACAGAGCAAGCCTCAAACAAACTATATGACAATACAAGGGCTGCCTTGCTGGATTCCCAAGTGAGCTAACAAGCAAGACACAGTAAGAAAGGACAGCCTGGGTATTTCAAAATCTAAAAATCTGACATTCCTTTCTCTTCATTATAGTAAAGTCTGAAGTGAGATAGTTTGGCCCAGAGGTATAAAAAGTGCCAAATAGGGGAGTCTGTTTTCATTCAGGCCCATCAGATGACTCAATGAACCCCTGGGCAAGTCACCCAGCTTCTTTGTTCTACTGTTTCTTCCTCAGCCAATAGGGACAATGGAACCAATCTACCCTGGAGCAAAGCAGTAGGAATAGGAAGGTGT